CTTACTGGCAAATCTTCTGGCATTCTATCTGACATATCTTCTGGCATTCTATCTGACATTTTATCTGGCATATCTTCTGACATTTTTTCTGGCATTCTATCTGGCATATCTTCTGACATTCTATCTGACATATCTTCTGACATTGTTTCTGGCATATCTTCTGATCTCTTCTGACATTCTTTCTGACATTCTTTCTGGCATTCTATCTGGCATATCTTCTGACATTCTATCTGACATCTTTTCTTCCCGTTGAGGTCCGGCAGTGCCCACTGCGATCTGGAAGTCGCGGTTGAGGTCCGGCAGTGCCCACTGGGATCTGGAGCTCGCGGTGGAGGTCCGGCAGTGCCCACTGGGATCTGGAGCTCGCGGTTGTGGTCCGGCAGTGCCCACTGGGATCTGGAGCTCGCGGTGGAGGTCCGGCAGTGCCCACTGGGATCTGGAGCTCGTGGTTGAGGTCCGGCAGTGCCCACTGGGATCTGGAGCTCGCGGTGGAGGTCCGGCACTGCCCACTGGGATCTGGACTGCGAGGAGGAGGACGAGGAGGAGATGGAGGAGGAGGCGGAGGAGGAGGAGAACAGCTCTGATAAAATCTAACAACCCTCACCTGGCAGGTGGGGAATAATGAAAATCACAAATGGTGAAATATTAGGTGAAATTACATGGAATCACACGCTCTTCTTGTGTCTATTATAACTTTGCTCACTGTTATTTTTGTTGCGGACCCGCATCGGTTGGATGATCATGAACATCTTTTTGAAGATGATACAGCAGTAGAAAACGAACCTTCGCCGCAGTCTAATACGATCATGCGGAAACTGCCATTCCTCCAAACAAATAGACATGCTATTGCAATAGAACAATCAGCACGAAGTGATTTTCGGACAATTGTTGATGATGGATTTTACAGCCACTTCAGACTTCTGAATGGTATTTACATTTATCTATCTATCTATCTATCTATCTATCTATATATTATATATATATATACATACACATATGTATATGATTGTAGGTGCACTAAGTATACCAGAAACACCAATTTTTGTGGTTGGCAGCTAGGCATAGTCATCTGCATGAACTCTGTATACCTATAATATACTCTGCAATGGTACTTTCAACCCTGGTCCTTGGTGTCAGGCAAATCTACCTGGCCATGACTGCAGTTTCTACGGTATTGTCACTGGGATGATGACTTGACAAGATATGTTGTTGTTTTCAATGCCATTCAGAAGTGGAGGATTTAAGAGGCCTAGCAGCAAAACTGGACAATATCTTCAATCTATATAATTTAATGGTTACTTTGTTGTACAAGACAAGGTTCATTCCTGGTGGGGCATTGTGCTTCTCCGTTGAGAATGTTCAAAGGGCAGCTGTAGGAAACCAACCATTCACTTCCCTGCTCAAAGGCTGCAGAAGGTCAAGAAATGCCATCCAAAACACTCGCGATTTCCCTATCTTTACCAATGATGACACTCCTAAAATCACCCAAGAACTGGTAAACATTAGCCCAACCTCCTTTCCATCCTTGCCCGCCATTGCGGACGAAATCTTTGAGCCAATGGCTACGAAACATAGGAACCATGGGAATCATCCCAGAAAGGGCCAATCGTGGGACCGTGTCTTGTCATTGATTGACTTGGCATGGTTATTAAACATATATATATATATATACGTATATATATATATATATATACGTATATATATATATACGTGTATATATATATATACACGTATACACGTATATATAATATAATTCAATAAAGTAAAATTGTATATATATATATATAATGTTGGCACCTGATTAGTAGCATGGTACTCTATTGTGGCAAACTTTTCCCTCCTTATTCAGTAACCTGCTGTTTGGTGGGGGGGGGGCCTCTATTGTGGCAAATGTTTTTTCCAGATTTTTTTTTAAAACAATTGTTCCTAATTAATTAATTATTTTTTGAATTTATTTTTAAATTGGTTACTTAAAAATGTTTTTCTGTTTTTCATTTTTTTAAATTAAAGCTTTCAAATGCAAGGTTTTCCAAATAATTAGATGCCTTATTAAACCCTTTTTAAAAAACAGCATCCAAACAATTTTTCAAGGTGGTACCCCATGAGTGGCTCAGTTACTCAATAATATGAATGTTTGGATGGTACTCTATTGTGCCAAGCAACTTTTGGGGTTGAAAAAAAATCAAAAACCTTTCTCCACCTTTCTTTGAGTAAAGCTGGTCCATTTACTTTAGAAAGCCATATTTGTGTTAAATCTTTAAAATGCAAGGTTTTCCAAATAATTAGATGCCTTATTAAACCCTTTTTAAAAAACAGCATCCAAACAATTTTTCAAGGAGGTACCTCATGAGTGGCTCAGTTACTCAATAATATGAATGTTTGGATGGTACTCTATTGTGCCAAGCAACTTTTGGGGTTGAAAAAAAATCAAAAACCTTCTCCACCTTTCTTTGAGTAAAGCTGGTCCATTTACTTTAGAAAGCCATATTTGTGTTAAATCTTTAAAATGCAAGGTTTTCCAAATAATTAGATGCCTTATTAAACCCTTATTAAAAAAACAGCATCCAAACAATTTTTCAAGGGGTACCTCATGAGTGGCTCAGTTACTCAATAATATGAATGTTTGGATGGTACTCTATTGTGCCAAGCAACTTTTGGGGTTGAAAAAAATCAAAAACCTTCTCCACCTTTCTTTGAGTAAAGCTGGTCCATTTACTTTAAAAGCCATATTTGTGTTAAAGCTTTAAAATGCAAGGTTTTCCAAATAATTAGATGCCTTATTAAACCCTTATTAAAAAACAGCATCCAAACAATTTTTCAAGGGGTACCTCATGAGTGGCTCAGTTACTCAATAATATGAATGTTTGGATGGTACTCTATTGTGCCAAGCAACTTTTGGGGTTGAAAAAAATCAAAAACCTTCTCCACCTTTCTTTGAGTAAAGCTGGTCCATTTACTTTAGAAAGCCATATTTGTGTTAAATCTTTAAAATGCAAGGTTTTCCAAATAATTAGATGCCTTATTAAACCCTTATTAAAAAACAGCATCCAAACAATTTTTCAAGGTGGTACCCCATGAGTGGCTCAGTTACTCAATAATATGAATGTTTGGATGGTACTCTATTGTGCCAAGCAACTTTTGGGGCTGAAAAAAAAATCAAAAACCTTCTCCACCTTTCTTTGAGTAAAGCTGGTCCATTTACTTTAGAAAGCCATATTTGTGTTAAATCTTTAAAATGCAAGGTTTTCCAAATAATTAGATGCCTTATTAAACCCTTATTAAAAAACAGCATCCAGACAATTTTTCAAGGGGGTACCTCATGAGTGGCTCAGTTACTCAATAATATGAATGTTTGGATGGTACTCTATTGTGCCAAGCAACTTTTGGGATTGAAAAAAATCAAAAACCTTCTCCACCTTTCTTTGAGTAAAGCTGGTCCATTTACTTTAGAAAGCCATATTTGTGTAAAATCTTTAAAATGCAAGGTTTTCCAAATAATTAGATGCCTTATTAAACCCTTTTTAAAAAACAGCATCCAAACAATTTTTCAAGGGGGTACCTCATGAGTGGCTCAGTTACTCAATAATATGAATGTTTGGATGGTACTCTATTGTGACAAGCAACTTTTGGGGTTGAAAAAAATCAAAAACCTTCTCCACCTTTCTTTGAGTAAAGCTGGTCCATTTACTTTAGAAAGCCATATTTGTGTTAAATCTTTAAAATGCAAGGTTTTCCAAATAATTAGATGCCTTATTAAACCCTTATTAAAAAACAGCATCCAGACAATTTTTCAAGGGGGTACCTCATGAGTGGCTCAGTTACTCAATAATATGAATGTTTGGATGGTACTCTATTGTGCCAAGCAACTTTTGGGGTTGAAAAAAAAAAAAACCTTCTCCACCTTTCTTTGAGTAAAGCTGGTCCATTTACTTTAGAAAGCCATATTTGTGTTAAAGCTTTAAAATGCAAGGTTTTCCAAATAATTAGATGCCTTATTAAACCCTTATTAAAAAACAGCATCCAAACAATTTTTCAAGGTGGTACCTCATGAGTGGCTCAGTTACTCAATAATATGAATGTTTGGATGGTACTCTATTGTGCCAAGCAACTTTTGGGGTTGAAAAAAATCAAAAACCTTCTCCACCTTTCTTTGAGTAAAGCTGGTCCATTTACTTTAGAAAGCCATATTTGTGTTAAATCTTTAAAATGCAAGGTTTTCCAAATAATTAGATGCCTTATTAAACCCTTATTAAAAAACAGCATCCAGACAATTTTTCAAGGGGGTACCTCATGAGTGGCTCAGTTACTCAATAATATGAATGTTTGGATGGTACTCTATTGTGCCAAGCAACTTTTGGGGTCGAAAAAAAAAAAAAAACCCTTGAAAGTAAATTGAAATCAATTGAAAGTCAATTGAACGTAAATTGAATTCAATTAAAAGTAAATTGAAAATCAATTGAAAGTAAACTGAAATCAATTGAAAGTAAATGGATTTCAATTAAAAGTAAATTGAAATCAATTGAAAGTAAATTGATTTCAATTAAAAGTAAATTGAAATCAAGTCAAAAAAATTGTTGAGGGTGGGGGGGCGCAAAAAAATGGTCAGTTATTGAGTAGACTAAAATTGTTTGAGGGGGGGGGGGGCCCGCCCACTAATCAGTCGACAACATTAATACTAATCCACATCACACGATATTTGGCGTACCCATACCCCAACTTTGACCCATCCCCATCTGGATGAATGATCTCCATTGTGTGATCATCATGGAAAAAAAAACAAACAACGCACTTGGTTGGTAGATAAAGGCCTGAGGCCCGTGGGCTGGTTGAAAATCATGAAACTTGCGTTCTGGGGATGTAGACTATGCATGTATGTAGACACATGTCATTGGTATGATCCCGGTCTACTGACTTTGTCAGGGGCTTCGCATGTGCACTTGTATAAGTATGTGTTAGAACATCTCAGGAACCAACCAGTCACCCATATCCACGCCCTTTTTGCTCATGTACTCATGTAAGTGCGTCAATGGACTGTGACCTCAGTTGGAATGAAAGCAATGGGAACAAAACGGCCACTCTTTGCTGTGAAGCATCGGGCTTCAAAACCGATCATGACATATAGTATATGATGTTTTTTCACCGTGCAGACTGCAGAAGTCTGTGCAAAGAACCTTAGCCAATGAAATTGTCAGAATCATAAACAAAAAGTAGAGAGGTAACCGGCTGAGGAGAAACGAATTAAGAATGTGTGAAGCATTTCTTGAAATTCTCGACACCTTTAACATAGCCAGCAGCACCCGCCTTTGCGTAGTCGTCCTATATGAAGTGGAAGGGGAAAGATGTATAGACCAAGATTACATTTAGCGAAGCAGAACCAGGAGCCATTGTCACAGTAAATACAAACTCAAATGTGAAAATGAACCAATGATCTGTTTGCCAATGGACTGTTTAAGGAACTAACAAGCTAATCAACCCATAACATTCACCCTGACCTGAGTCAGGATGTGCATTTGGTGACAAACTTCGATGACGAAATCTGGTGGTGAAAATTCAGTGACGAAAATTCGGCGAGATCTTCTATTGTTGGGCACGTATGATGCGAGTTTCGGCACAGTAAACATTACGCAAAGATGCTCTGCCTCTTGAGTGCATTTGTGATTACAATGTTTTGGTGTTCTCGGTTGTTGTAGTCATTGCGTCCTAGCATCCCAAAAGCATCTTTGACGGATAGCAGCCAGGAAGTTCGAAGGTTTGCGGGTCTTCCATGTTCTATGCGGGGTGTGTAGGAACTGTATTCAAACAGCACTTGTTGCAACGGATCGCCTGGATTTGTTCTCAAAATATGGCCAAAAAGTTTCAACTTACGCTTTAACCATGTACTGGAGAAGAGTGGAACTTCAGAGTCAAAGTTGTTTTTGAGAGTTTTAAAGACTTTCTGATTCGTGTATGAGCGGTTAATGAATGTGGGCGAATCTTGAGAAGTCCTCGCATACCCTTCTTTTGAAAAGCATGATAGTAGTAGTAAAAGTAATTATATATCATTATTTTTATTATTATTACTTTTATCATCATTGCTATTATCATTTCCATTATATATTGTATGGTTTCTGCAAATTTAAGCCCTTGTTGCAACATGTTTGCTGGAGTTTCTCGATCATCCACTCATTGTATGTCCCCGAATTGACACATGCTATGTGGGTCACCGACCCCCGTTTTTCCTGCAGGGAAAACTGGGAAAATCACATGGTTTACCTACTTATGAGGTAGCTCAAAGGGTAAGATACGGTAAGATGTTCTCTCCCACGAATTAGATAAACCTCAATTCATTCAAACACAAACCCAGTGAAAGGTGGCTACGTGTCAAAAGTCCAGACTGGTTCTGATCCACAAAGGTCGGTCATCTCTACGGGGTCTCGATATCAAAGTTAGCGCTTTGAGGCCTATCCTTCAGTTGTTTACTAATTTTAGAGTGTCAATCATCAAATATAGAACTGTAATAGTTATTAATAAGTGCATCCTGATATTTCCATGTCCTTATATTAATGTTGTATTGATGGTTCACTATATGTTTTGTTTTTTTAAGCTTCCGGGATATCACCCAACCAGCCGAGCCAAAGAACGCGTCACATCGCAGCGGAACTCCAAAGAGCCCCAGGCACTCCCTGGGATACGGGGGACTCTGGGATCCTACTCAGGTTTGGATCAACGGCCAGGATTTTGTAGATATGTATATATATATATTTCAAGATATCTGTATGTATACATATTGTATTACATTGTATGCATGTATGTATGTATGCATGTATGCATGCATGCATGCATGTCTGCATGTATGCATGTATGCATGTATGCATGTATGCATGTATGCATGCATGCATGCATGCATGCATGCATGCATGTATGTATGTATGTACTGTAGTATAAATGTATATGTATATATATACACATAAACATGTATAAATGTGTATATATTATATAATATGTTTAGATATTGCATATGTAACATGCGATTACGCGATTACGTATCACATGCGACTACATATTCATACATATTGGAACGTACTTGGCACAACCAGACGCTTTCATCAAAATTATATTATTATTATGCATTTATGATGGTACCCTTGTCTCAGGGATACAGCTGCACGCATCCTTGTTTGATGCTTGCCCAACCTAAATCAGCCACTTTGAACATCGCATACATTCTACCAGAAAAATGATAATCAAACAATTGTGTGAGCAACAATTTGGTAGTTGGTCCACCAGTTTGTTGTTTCTTCTGAAAGCTTCTGCTGCGTTTAATTGCTCATGTGGTGAAAGGATGCTACAGGAATATGCTTACTCTCATTCCAATCTCCAAGCACAGCCTCCCATGATATGTAGAGGAGTGATTGCCAAGTGCGTAATATGTGTCTAGAATCACCTACCATGAACACATTTCACCCCGATCCTCAGAACCTGAAAATGAAGCCTGTGGACTGTCCTTTAAAAACTCAAAACAATTATCAGCTATACCTGCTATAACTTTCTGAGGTCTTTGAACCTAGAGCCCTGCATATGGGCAAAGAACAATAATCTTCCTATCCCAGGACTTGATGGCAATTTACAACAACGATACCTTTGATAAAACAACAATAATGGTTGGTGAATATATGATTTAATGACTATTATTATCATAGTCAATCCATGTTAATTCCTAGAAATATCATCAATATAGAACAACTATAACAATCTGATGGCTGGGAAAGATAGATATGTGTATCCCTTTTTCGGTATTGAAAACAATCTGATCGCGGTATAATAGATATATATATATATATTAGATAATAACGAAACAACTATAATGATTATAATGGATCATGTTTTATTACAATCCTAACCATATGGCCAGTATTCCTGAGTATAGCATGACGACCTGCACCTCAACGCTTGCCCCATCAAGGCTTACCAGCAGCAGAGTAGCGATGATTTACCAATGCGGTAAACCCAATGTCATTTGCACCATCCCCAGCGGATTTAGTGAAATTGGGTATACTCCGTATACTCCTCGAAACGGGATGATTAAAGATTACCCTCAAATGCTTTGTAAAAAAAGGGAGTGTGTATTATTGGGTTTACCACATTACCTGTTTATGATTGTGTCAGTTTTTTGAAATACCATTTTAGTTGCCATTCAGGTGAGAATGTTTAGTTTAAAGTGGGATTGTTTACTATTAATGTTCAATCACCTTTATCCCCCATTGTCGATTATCAAGTTTCATCAAATCCCATGGTCATCCTTTATCATTGACTTTATCAATTTACCCCATGACCCGTTCCTGTAAATTGCACGAGTTGATTCGCCCAACCATCCAAAATGGTTCTACCATTCAGGAGCTTGCCGCTTGACTCTTGATATGATTGATATGTATCATAATTGGCAAAAGTATATCCATGAAAAATCCAGAAACAACATCACCGAGAATGGGTCAAACATATGTCACCCATTTCAACCCGGTTTAACTGACACAAACGACCGCCGTGCGAGAACTCGGTCGCAGACCATGCGGTGCGCTGCAGCCACTCCCCCGGTGGCATTTTTTGTCGCCTGCACAGTGAGTGGCTCAAGATATATCCCATCCCATTGCAGGCGTACTCCTAACACCCTGTAGGTGGCTATGATTGATTGATTGGGGCAACCCTGAATAAAATTCCAATATATTCCAATATATACCTCATTGCGCAATCATATCCCCAGATTACGCTGTCTCAACCTTGGCCATTCCCGCCTGTGCCATTGCTTCCTCGCCCATCTGCGCTTTGAGCTGCAGGGGTTCCTGCGATCATGGCGATATATTCACAGTGATATATGTTTTCAGAAATGTGGAGATATACAACCAAAAACATGCAAATATCAAACAATGATACTTAGCTAAAGTTTCATATCCACACTGTCACTATGATTCGTGATTGTTCATCTATGTGGCTCGAACGTTAACACTGTTTTTGTTGATTGGGTATAAAGCTACACATTTCATCTGGAACAAATGTGTATATATATATATTTATTTATACATTCTTATTGAGATTTCCTGAAAATAGGGTACTCCATTTTGCCCCTAAATCATCCATTTTGATACTTGAGGGATTTTTCCATTATGAACCAATCATTTTGGGGATCCATCATTTACGGAAACCTCCGTAGAATCGTTCACTGACCGGACCGAAAATTGCCATGGGATCTAGCCATCAATGGTCCTTACACATTGCACTGGTGTTTGACCCTAGGAACCCTTCACCTGGCCAACGTTAGAACCCTGGTTGCCATTACTAGGATTGTCATGGATCAGTTGATAATATGTGTATATGTTTATTAGGTTGTTGTTATTATGTTATTATAGATATTGTAGTTGTTTCTCTTTACAAACATACTATTGTCATCATGGGCATCATTTCAAACATGAGTACTAGTAACAAAATTAAGCATCCACCTCAGCATGGCGTCCATGAAGGCAACACTTTGGTGTTCAGTGCTCAATATGGCCTGGCACAACTGCATGGCCCCGCTTTCTAATTGATCACTTCCAAATACGCATGGGTAAGATTAGTCACTCTAGAACTAAGCTTTTCGTTTTGCAGGATATGACTTATTAATATATACTTATCATATACCCTCTGGTAAACTAACATAGCTATGGAAAATCACTCTGGACCTGGAATCCCCTGATCGCGCCTGATACCTGAAGAGGTCCGTCTCCAGTCGTTTCTTGGTATTTTCCTGTAGAGTGGCATGACAAGGGCAGGAGGCATGTTGAACCTGCTTTGCAGAGTGCCATTGATCGTCTCGTATATATATATATTATATGTATAATAATAATAATAAACATAATAATAATAATGATAATAATAATAAATAATAATAATAATATATATAATTATATATATGATTCTGTACGTGTATATATATAGATAGATAGATAGATAGATAGATAGATGCCATTGTTCACCAGTGTTCACCATTGTTTACCCTTTGTTTACCATCATTAACGGGTCATTTTAGATCAAATATGTCGGCCATGCTCAGGGCAACCTGCGTAGACTCGCAACTTCTACTAGACTAAATGGGCAACCCGGGTGAAAGTTACTGTACGTTTCATATTCAACACTACATACTTGTTTATTCAACACTACTGTTAAGAATACAGTAAGTCAACCAGTTTGTTCCTTTCACCTTGGGGTCACCATTACTCAACAAACCTATGAGTCGTGTCTGATGTTGGAATCGCACACCAAAGCCACCAAATTGGTAAAGCCGCGTAGTGACTACGTGTGGCGGAAATGATGGGCACTGGCACACCACTTACTGTACCGTCGTTGACCGAGCGATTGTGCAATTGGCAATTTGGATATTCCTAAGTTACAATCATGCATCACTACAATATTTCTGATATAAACTGTTGGTTGCGAAACGAGAGGTTAAGACCCTTTGAAGCAACTAATCAGGGGGAAATGGTACATCGCACTGGGTATATCTGCATATCACTTGTGATCTATCAAATATCATACACTGTAAACATATATCTCATAATTTATGTGTATATATATATACTGTGAACCGGGGATTGTTTGTCCGATTATGTTCTGGTAGTTGGGTTTGAAGTGAATGCTTCGATGATGACGTTACACGGGCAGCAGCTTCCGCATGGCAGTTCTTTGCTCTGATGCTGCAGTGGGTCTTGAGCCAAAAGGGCGATTGTCATACCCTTTGGCTGTGGGTCTTAGAGTGATGAATTATGTGATATTGTACATTGGTCCGTAGCTTACACTCTATTCGCACCCCCCACGCATAGCCAACTTTGTTGGCTACGCGCAAAGGAGTGTCCCTTGAATTGATCCACTATACTTGCAGCTGTTCATTTATTGAATTATGGAGAGCTAAAGTTCGTTCAGAACTTCACATCTACACGGCGGCTTGCTACGATCTCTACCAAAAGATAAAGGTTCTGTTCACGTGCATGTAGACACGACGTAGTCGGTGTCTAGCATTGAGGTTCATCCGATGTGGCGTAGCCAGCATGGAATCCCACTCAAGCATGTGAATTAAAGAAATCAAAACACAAAGTTGACTATGGAACTAGAAGTTTACTTTCCCGTTCCTTCGTCGGTTGAGATGTAGACCGCTGTAGAAACTCAGCGTCTCGTGCAATGATGTTCAAAAAAAAATGTGTGGTTCTAAATTAGCCGGCTCAGAGTCCTCTCAGAAATCATTCAAAATGAAGTAGAGGTAAATCTCGAGCAATGATTGCATCCTCGCATCGCCAGGTTCAATCAGGACCTATGCAGAGGTCATATCGATTTATCATCTATATCCCCATCCATAGTATCCCTGTTGGTTCCAGTCTCCGCCACGGTGTGAATAAGATCTTCCACCTTTTCCTTGGTCTTTTCCACCCTTCTGTGGCGGGGTTACTGGAGCTTGTTTTGGCGGAGGAGAGGTTTCAACTGTTCTCCATGTTGTTGACGATGATGCTTTCGCTTTTGACACTCTTCCCAGTGCTGGTGCTGCTTTCGGGGCAGCTTTCGACTTGCCAGCGGCTGGGTTAGCGCGTTCACGATCAGCAGGAGTTGGGGTATCAGCAATCGCAAGTATGTGAGCATCTGACATGTGGATGCCCCACCTTGGTCGTTGATCGTCCCGTTGCTTGATGTGGTTGTAGTCATCGATTGCATCATATAGCTTCTGGAGTAGAGGTCGTGGTAATTGTCGGCCATTTTGAAGGATCAGGTGTAAAAGTGATATTCTTCGAAGTGCGGGACGGAGAGCACACACAATGTCAACTGGGTTCAGTGTGATTGTGTCTTGAAAGTCGACGTTCCTGAAGAAATAAACAGCATTCACCCTATATGCACCTGCAATGATTCTTCTGACCATGACGTCTTGTCGGTCAAGGGCTTCGCGTGCAGCTGTGGTCTTTCTCATCTCATCCATTGTTGTGTCACGTTTCGACAGCTTCTCCATCTCCTCGTCAAAGAAGATATTTTGCAAGTCATCATACGTGTAGCCACATTCAAGGGTATATATGAGAAGTCGTTTGAGTACCACTGCCCCATAGTACGCATTGACGAATCCCTCTTCTCCGATGTCGTCCTTTTGATTTGGTCGGCCGATCTCTTTGTAGAGCTCTTTCATCTGTTGTGCAGTTGGTTCAATGAGTTCACCATTTTCATCCTCGCCTAGGTAAGGCGTTCTTGAGTCCAGGTCCATCCTGAATTTCTGGTTCTGTTGAAAATGTTTCCATGCCGTCTCGATGTCTCCACAGAAGTTCCGTTGGAATAGTCTGTAGATCCTGACGATATGTAATCCAATCTGCAACAGGAGGATCTTGATGAGCTCTGGCTGAGCATCTCCAATTGTGCAAGGCTCGATTGGTAGGACCTTTGATCCAAACTCAATACGCTTCATCCACTTGGGGTACTCAATCACTGCATCACGAGCTTCTCCAGCCTCATACTCTTCAATGTTGATTTCATCGACCGCTACCTCTTCATCGTCGTTCTCGTCGGTCGGTTTTCCTTCCCGATTGAGAAATTTGTCGACCTCATCTTGTTCTCTGAAGTCTCTTCTCTCATCATTGATGTCGCCCTTCTTCGAGGCTTGGTCATCATCTTCTTCTTCTGGTTGAGTTTCTTTTTCTGGACTCTTCATGGTGACGTCATCATCATCTGGCATCACCTCGTCGTCATCACCATCACCTGTCAAATCGATCTTCACCTCCTCCCATGCTTTCTTGACATGGTCTTTGAGATCTTCTTCTCGATGATGTGATTCGGCATTTGGTACTGTTGCCACGGTGATCTTGATTCGTTTCCTCCATCCATGACTCACCAAAAATCCTTTGCACATCACACAAATCGATAATGGTGCAGGGGTCTCCATCAGACATGCGGGGCATAGTCGATGGTCCTCCTTGCTGGGATGATGAGTGACTGCCAACAATGATATTGCATCATTCCAATCCGGATGTCCAGGGAACAATCTGTGAGTATGACTGAAGTGACCGGTCCTGATATCGACAAGTTTTCGAAGTTCGTCCAGATCGGGTGATGATTCTTCAGGCACAATGTTCCCAATGAGCTTGTCAAATCGTTCAATGGTGGCCACCCTCTTTGCTCCTTGCACAGAAAGTACAAGTTGATCTCTTCCCTTTGTGATCATGAGACGGTAGTAGTCCTTTTCCCTCCAGTCGTAATACCAAACTGCATCGAATGATTCGAATGGAATTGTTTCTTGGACCAAAATGTGTCCGTCTGCTGACAATCGAGGGGAGAACTTGGCGATGGAATCGTACGTGATGTGTAGACAAGATCAGTTTGGTCAATCTTCCTGAATCTCAGCACCGTCTGACTTCGCACGTCCCAAGGTGCGAATGGCACGAAGAACGTATTGATGCGGTCGCCTCCTCCTCCGGGACGTAGTCCTTCTCTGAAGATTTGAGCGATGTTGTCAAAAGTGGTGCAATGAAATCCTCCTCCAAGAGTGTATCCTACTCCAGGGTTCATCTGATAGGAAGTCTTCTTGTCTTCGATGTGCACACCGCCTTGAACTCTTGAATGTGCCATAGGGGCACGGATTGCCACCGGCCAAAGCCAGATCTCTCGATCTGCTGTGCCGATCTCCAACCTCAATGTTTGTCGATCAAGTCTCGAGGTCAATCCATCATTGAAGTTGTTCATGACGTATTCCAACTCACCTTTTGTGACTTTGAGTCCTAGCACTTGGGCTCGGATTCTCTTCGTTTGCTTGTACTCAGTGAAGATCACTCTCTGAAAATTGTTCCACCTCTCAACAAGTATCGGGTAGTTGACATGGGTCGTTCCAGCCAATGTATGTTGGTCTCTCCAAATGGCGTCGTACTTCAAGATCGACTCAACATTGACCCAACCTGCCTCATCGCATGGTAGTCCACGGTGATTTCGATTGTCTTTGACGCAACCCACGGAGTGGCGTAGCGCTGCATTGAATCTTTTCGACAATTCGACTATCCATTGCGGATTTTCCCACTTGTTGCCCATCCACTCATTCTCGCCATATCGATGTACCTTACACCAGCCCATTCCAAGATATTCTTCTCCATTCATGCGAGCAAGTTGAAGTGTACCAATGTTGTGGCCATGTGTGAATGGTTGGATGTACTTGAAGTTCCAGTTGTTTCCATGTTGTTTTCTTTCTTCAGTAAGCCATTTCATGTATTCATCATGGTCAATGGGGTTCCAAGCGTTCAGCTCCTCAATGGTCGGCAAAACAGGCGGGGATTCCTCAGCCGCACGCTCAATCAGCAGATCAAGCTCATGACGATTCTTCACACCTCGGCTAATTGGGTTGACTTCGACACCATTCACTAGGTATTGTCCTCCTTCTTCACGATCACCAATGTCGTACATAAAGGCTGACTGACTGTAGAAGCACTTGGTCACTTCTTCTTTCTCGGTGAATCTGGTTCTTCCCCAACGCTTTCCTCGTGGCATGACGTTCTTTGGGAGCTTGTCCTTTCTGCCTCTGGTCGCAGCTTTGGATCTTTCCGATGATGATGGGGATTTGGACTTCTGATCCATGATCAATCTCATGCGCCATAGGGTGTCCTTCATGTTCTCGTCATCTGGTGTGGTACATTCATCAATGTCATGTCTTCCACCACAAATGAAACAATATTGAACACTCGATGCATCTGCAATCAGCTTCTCAAATCGATCACGGATATCCCGCACCTCAGTTCGGCG